ATCCATCCATCCATCCATCCATCCATCCATCCATCCATCCATCTATCTATCTATCTATCTATCTATCTATCCATCCATCCATCCAACCGTCTGTCTGTCTGTCTGTCTGTCTGTCTGTCTGTCTGTCTGTCTGTCTGTCTGTCTGTCTGTCTGTCTGTCCGTCCGTCCGTCCGTCCGTCCGTCCGTCCGTCCGTCCGTCCGTCCGTCCGTCCGTCCATCCATCTATCTATCTTAAAACGCGGATTTAAAGATGATTTCATGTCTGTTTTCTGCAGCCATGAGGACAAAACTGAGCTGATATCTAAAGTGTAAACCCAGCCTTTTAAAACTCTTCTGTGAGAGGAAAGGAAACGGAGCTTTAGCACTGCAGGATGATCCGGAGTTGAAAAAGGTTTCTCGACTTTTATCACCTTCATGCTTTCTTTGTTCTGGAAAGCATTAAAGAGCCGAGTTTCTGCAGAACGGCCTCAGAAGGAAACGAGAGAAAGAATAACAACCGTAAAATAACCCGGCTTCATGCAGACGTCTCAGAGGAACCGAGATTAAATTAAAGAGTTTAACTCACTCCTTCATGTTCCTTAATTACTGCGTCCGTTTGGTTCAAACACAAAAACAAAAGAAGTTCCGTCTGCTGAATGTTGAAGAAGAAGAAATGAAACCAAAGTCTTCCTTAACCCTTAGATGCATAAGTGGCTCTTTTTGGACCCGGTGAGGTGGTTTTCTTGAAGTATCTTTGTAATTACATTTTTTTAACATTTCATATTCCAGCTATTCCTCAAAAAACATGTTTTGGATATCATGCCATTCACATTTTAAATAAAGATTTTAAGAAATTGTAGAGACACTAGGAGAGGACTCTTTAAAGTAGAGACACTACATACTGATATACACCTGAACATCAGCAGGAGAGGACTCTTTAAAGTAGAGACACTACATACTGATATACACCTGAACATCAGCAGGAGAGGACTCTTTAAAGTAGAGACCACTACATACTGATATACACCTGAAAATCAGCAGAGAGGACTCTTTTTAAAGTAGAGACACTACATACTGATTTACACCTGAACATCAGCAGGAGAGGACTCTTTAAAGTAGAGACACTACATACTGATATACACCTGAACATCAGCAGGAGAGGACTCTTTAAAAGTAGAGACACTACATACAGATATACACCTGAACATCAGCAGGAGAGGACTCTTTAACGTAGAGACACTACATACTGATATACACCTGAACATCAGCAGGAGAGGACTCTTTAAAGTAGAGACACTACATACTGATCTTACACCTGAACATCAGCAGGATGAGGACTCTTTAAAGTAGAGGACACAACATACTGATATACCACCTGAACATCAGCAGGAGAGGACTCTTTAAAGTAAGAGACACAAACTACTGATAACACCTGAATATCAGCAGGAGAGGACTCTTTAAATGTAGAGGCACTACATACTGATATACACCTGAACATCAGCAGGACAGGACTCTTTAAAGTAGAGACACAACATACTGATATACACCTGAACATCAGCAGGAGAGGACTCTTTAAAGTAGAGACACAACATACTGATATACACCTGAACATCAGCAGGAGAGGACTCTTTAAAGTAGAGGCACTACATACTGATATACACCTGAACATCAGCAGGAGAGGACTCTTTAAAGTAGAGACACTACATACTGATCTACACCTGAACATCAGCAGGAGAGGACTCTTTAAAGTAGAGACACTACATACTGATATACACCTGAACATCAGCAGGAGAGGACTCTTTAAAGTAGAGACACTACATACTGATATACACCTGAACATCAGCAGGAGAGGACTCTTTAAAGTAGAGACACTACATACTGATATACACCTGAACATCAGCAGGAGAGGATGTTTTATATTACGCAACCAAATAGGTTGCGTAATATAAAAGATTGCACTTTTCTAACGCTCAATAAAAGCTCTTTTGATTAACTTCAGGACCTTCAGACATACCTTGATGCATCTCATATAAATTCTTCAGTTTAGTAAGAGGTGACTTTGCAACAAGTCTCACTGATCCTGTCCGTGGCGAATTAGAGCTGAACGCCCGAGGCAACACTCAGCTCACTGAAGTGTGTGTGTGTGTGTCTGTTTGTTTCCACATGTGTGTGTGACCTGCAGTTTGTTTGTGAGTGCCTGTGTGTGTGTGTGTGTGTGTGTGTGTGTGTGTGTGTGTGTTTCCCCCCGAGGCTGTTAGACTGGCGACTACAGAGCTGTGAAACGGAGAGGTCACAGCTGTGCGTGTGTGTGTGTGTGTGAGAGAGAGTGTGTGTGTGTGTGTGAGAGTGTGTGTAAACAGCTGGTGTGAAATCTTCCCACCTGTGCACAGCAGTTTAAAGTCTCGGCGCAGCGACTTCAATCTGGATGTTTTAACAGCTATTTTTAAGAATAAAACACTAAATAAACACAATATATATTATTTTGTATTATACCTAAAATATGCGAATCTAATTCATGTAATGACTGCATCTTTAAAAGAGAATAAAGAAATCTTAAAAATATTATTTTAAATATTAAGCACTGTAAAGCGATAATATGTCGAGTATAGTGTTGTCTGCCCCCTAGTGGCCGAAAAATGCAATGACGGCAGTTTTCAGGGAAATGACTTTAACTTTCACTTCTGTTCTTCTGTGTACCGACAGGCCGAGTGTGTGTGTGAGTGTGTGAGTGTGTGTGTGTGTGTGTGAGAGTGTGTGTGTGAGTGTGAGTGTGTGTGTGTGTGAGTGTGTGAGTGTGTGTGTGTGAGAGAGTACGATGGCGTCGCCGCTTGAACACAAATGATCGAACATGGACGACACAAACGAAACGTTTTTGGCGACGCATTGGCCCTTCCCATGTGACCCCAGTATCTTTGAATTCCCCGGCAAAAACCCCGGCGAAGACCCCGGCATCGAACCGGAAAATGACCCCATCGTCGGCGGAAACGCCGTTGGTGGCGACACCTCCATGGGGGTCCCTTTCCCAGAAGACCCCATCAAAATGCCAAGTGTACAGGTACATAATAATAATAATACATTTAATTTTTATAGCGCTTTTCTTAGTGCTCACAGATGCTTGATTACATGATTCAACTTACAACAAGCATGTAATTATTTACACCATAACGTCGTATCAACGCTCCAGTGGTGACTAAATCTAAAAACTGAAAGGGTTTTTTAAAGGAATTGTATTATATTGTGCACATATTTATTTGACATTTTTTTACATTTTAGCTTTGTTTATAATATTTTTTATATACTTTAATCTATTTTCTACATGAATCTCTCCTCCTTCAGGTGGTCTTGATCCTGGCTTACAGCACCATCATAGTGCTGGGGGTTCTGGGTAATTCTCTGGTGATCTACGTCATCTATCGCTTCAAGACGCTGCGCACCGTCACCAACTTCTTCATCGCTAACCTCGCTGTTGGTACGTACACGCACACACACACACACACACACACACACACACAAACACACACACACACACACACTTTCCTCTCCTTTCTCCTACGTCCTTTGGATGTCAGACAGGATTTCCAGGCTCCTAGACTGACAAATCTGTGTGTGTGTGTGTGTGTGTGTGTGTGTGTGTGTGTGTGTGTGTGTGTGTGTGTGTGTGTGTCTAACATCTGTCAGCAGTAATCAGTGTCTCCTCTGTGATGTCTGCATTGTGTCAACATGTAAGATGTGGATTACAGAGAAATCTCTAGGATTTTAATTCCTCAGAGTTGTTGCCCTGAACAAAGAAATACAGATATTTTACTTAATTTTTGACACTTTCAAACCCTTTTTGTAAAAATATTATACCGAATTATTAACTCTGAAAGGTTTAGACCTTTTTCTCTTGAGACCTCTGACTGTAACATGTGAAGGTGATAACATTCAACCTTTTAATTCCCGTGTTTTTAACATGTTTTTTACATGTTAGCTGACCTGAACACTCTGTCTTCCTTTCACTCTCGTCTACACGCTGCAGGAAATGAAACATTAACTCTGTTTTTCCTATATTTTTTTACATGTTTTCTACATGTTTTTTCCATGTAAGCGAACCTGTTGGTGAACGTGCTGTGTCTTCCCTTCAGGCTGGTCTACGCACTGCGCGGAATGAAACATTAACTGTGTGTATCTTCCGTGTTTTCCCGTGTTTTCCCGTGTTTTTCTCGTGTTTCTCACCGTCTTTCACCTGTTTTTCACATGTTTTCTGTGTGTTTTTTCATCTCTGCCAGCGGACCTGCTGGTGAACACGCTGTGTCTCCCCTTCACGCTGGTCTACACGCTGCAGGGCGAGTGGAAGTTCGGAGGGGCGCTCTGCTTCCTGCTGCCGTACGCTCAGTGCCTCGCCGTGCACGTGTCCACCGTCACGCTCAACGTCATCGCACTGGACCGACACAGGTGGGCGGGAAATAAGATTCAAAGGTTTTAATGTCATATGCACATAAGCTACAGAGTAGAAATGGCAATGAAATGATTCTGACCTGAGCTCCTCCAACAATGCAACATATAGAATCAAATACAAACATTTTGGTAAATATGTTGGCCACTTTGTGATGTCATAATGTTTTTTTGTCTTGTGTAACCATTAGCCAATCACCAACCAAGGTAACCGCCCCCCCCCCACCTTACCATTGAGATCTTTGTAACCAAATCTCTCTGATGCGGCTTTCACACCAGCGCTTTTCCCTTTCTAGCTCCAAGCGAGAGCTTTTCTGGTTCAGCTCCGGTTTCCCTTTTCAGCTCCCGCTCTGTTCACATCGCCCAGAGCTGCCGCTGCTGCGTCATGACGTCACAGTTTACGTCGCTGAGTTTCTCCCCAACGGAGCTCACCTCACAACAACAACGGGCCGGGGACTGCGTCGGGTCGATGATCGCGTTGCTTTTAATCATACGAAGCCAGATTAAATTAAATAACGACTTCTCCAACCTTATACTTGTCTCCAGAGTGCCGTGGTTCATTGTTTATTAATGTGTTTCAGCGGCATTTACCGACCGCTGCAGTGCTGGCTGCTCTTCCACGGGAGTTTATTCTCCCGCTAGCTCCGGGTTAGCTCACACGGCTCTAAAGTATTCACTGTCTGACTGTCACACAAGCAGCTGATACATATCCCCAGTTCCCCTTAAGTGAATGTGTGTCAGTCTGAATTGACGCTGTTTGGCATCACAACGCTGTTATGAACGTTTCTCTGGTATAACATGGGTGATGTTAGCATAGCAACCGAAGCTAAACTGACTACTTGCTAAGCCGTTTTCTACAGGCACATTTTACCGGCGTATTTTTCATTATGATTCTACTTGTGATAGTCGGACATGACAACCTGTGCAGCCCATGTATTGATTCCATCCGATAGCTGCTATAATAACAAACAAAACGTCTGCCTGCTCTCCACAATGATCAATAACACCGAACGGATGGTCAAAGTAAGGTTTCCTGCACGCCTCGACGTAAGCGAGGCCATGTCATAGCTCCGAAGCTCTTGCCTCTGGACCGACAATTTTTTGGAGCTGGAAGTGAACCGCATTCCGGAGCTATGACGCGCCGCCGCTGCGGTGGGAACAGGGAAAACCGGCGCTTTTCCAGCTCCAGCTCCGAGCAGGAGCTGGAAAAGCGCCGGTGTGAAAGGGGCAACAGAGGGGCGTGGGGAGGGGCTCCTTATTTTCATCTGAAGTAACAGACAGAGAATCAGCACTTTGGAAACAGGGCTGAAACAGAGGGGATTATGGGATGCTGCAATGATCTGTTTGGTGTTTCAGCCAATCAGAGACAGGTTCTGGATATATCTGAGACCTGTGATATATTGATGAAGAAGAGGATAATAGGGGACCTTTAAGTGTGCAAAAACGACAGAAAAAGATATCTACGGTACAAGACATATTTATCAAAAGTTTACTTTATCGAGAGAACTTTCATGAACTAAATGCAAACTTTGTGATTTTCCTTTGCAAACTTTCCCCGTCCTGAGAGACGCTCCTGCAGCTCGGTGTGCTTTTGTGTTTCTGCGTCCACCTGTCCGGGGAATCTGCTACAAAGACTCTTTGATTCTCATGTTTTTTGGCAGGAAAATAAGGTTTAATTAAAGTAGAACAGATTTCATGATCAGAGCGTCTGAGTTTCTGTTCGGTGTTGCATTGTCTTCCAGCTTCAAAATATATCCAGATATTTCAATGTGTTATTATTATCTTCAAGTCTTCATTAAAAACCCGCCTGTTCACCATGGCCTTTGACCCCTAACCCATCACAGTCCACTCATACTGCCATTTATTTAATATTTACTTTATTATTTGCCCTTCTTGTTTGTTAGTTTGTTTGGTTGTTTGTTCACTATGTAAAGCGTCCTTGGGTCCCTTGAAAGGCTTTTCCAATATTATTATTTTCACACATATGTGACCTGCTCCATCGAAATCAGTCGCATTGACCCGAAGACACATTCTGAGTATACACTGTTGGAAAGAGGAGATTCCTAGCTTTCTAATGATATCAGGATTGTTGTTGTACTCCAAATATTAAGCAAAATATGTCACATTATATAATGACTGGTGTGTGTGTGTGTGTGTTTGTGTAATTGTGCGTTTGTGTGTATTGTGTTTGTTTCCCGGGGAAAACACTCAGGAGAAACACCGGCTGTTGTTATGCCTGCTGTGACCTCAAGTTACTCCGTTCTCCGCTTGTAAATATGCCGTTACAAGCTTCATAGTTGTATTTATCATCTGAATTTGCCGAAACAAGTTTAATATTCTGAAAGCCAAGACTTTGTTTAATTGAAATCAGATGAAAACAAACTGTAACGGACCCTGCCGTGTTATCCATGATTACTATACGCCTTACATTCATAATGTCAGCGGAGGGAGGGGGAGCAGCGCTGTGGAAGAGCAGATTGGAAGTGAGAGGTGCCATCTTCCCTTTACAAGCTTCCAACATGTATTTATCGTGTGATTTTGGAAATAAAAGTTTCATATTCTGAAAGCCAAGACTTTGTTTATTTAAAATCAAACAAAACACCCGAACCCACGTTTAAAATCCACGTTTATTTTGAAATGAGCCGTTGCGACTTCCGACTGATTTCGATAGAGCGGGTCACATATATGTATTTTATAGATTATTGTTTTTTTTTATAAATATATTTGTATTTGATTATTCCAGGTGTATCGTGTACCACCTGGAGACGAGGATGCGTAAAGACGTGTGTTTCGGGGTGATCGCTCTCACCTGGGTGCTGAGCGCCATCTTAGCCAGTCCTCTCGCCATCTTCAGAGAATACGGGTCCTTCACTCTGGAGCCAGGACACACCATCCAGGTACACACACACACACACACACATACACACACACACACACACACACACACACACACACACACACACACACACACACACACACACACACACACACACACACACACACGTTTGATCCCCTCTATCTTCTTTCATGTCTCCTCTTTGAACTTGCACTCCGAGGTGTTACGCCTATCTTCCTCATTTGTTTCATTTGTTTCATTTCGCCTCGTAGGAAAAGTACGAAATTATGAAAGGGAACTCCAGAAGCAAGGAAGGAAGGAAAGATGAAAGGATGAAATGTAGGATGGTTGAAAGGAAAGAGGAAGATAGAAAGAAGGATGTAGAACATATGATGATATTGAAATATGACGAATAAGGGAGGGAGATGGAAAGCATCCTAACTAGGAATACACGTAGGGAAAGGAAAGAGGATTGCTAGAATGAAGGAATGATGGAAGGATGTTTGACAGAAAACATCAAATCTATTCCAAGTGACCCTAACCCATCGCTTCCTGTGTCCTCAGGTGTGCACGGAGAAGTGGCCGGGGAAGAGCACGGACGGCACGGTGTACAGCATCTCCATGTTGATCCTGCAGTACTTCCTGCCGCTCTCCATCATCTCCTTCGCCTACGCACGAATCTGGTCGAAGCTCCGCGCCCACGTTAGCCCGGCGGAAACCGGCGTTAGCACCAGCAGTGCTACGTCTGAGCGCCATCGCAGACGGCGAAAAACCACCAAAATGCTGGTGACCATGGTGGTGGTTTTCGCCGTCAGTTGGTTGCCTTTCCACGCCTTCCAGCTGGCGACGGATATCGACAGCGCCGTGTTGGATATGCAATATTTCCGCCTGCTTTACACCGTTTTCCACGTGGTCGCCATGTGCTCCACCTTCGCCAACCCGCTGCTTTACGGATGGATGAACCGAAACTACCGCGCCGCCTTCCTCGCCGTCTTCAAGTGTTGCCGAGGCGGCGAGAAGAAGAGAGGCGGGAGGTTGGATAGCATCCATCCCACAGGAGGAGGTGGAGGAGGAGGAAGGGTGAAGAAGATCGTGATTGAAACGCAAGACACGGTGTCCACCCACCTCAACGCCACCGATGTTTGAGAAGGAGGCGAAGGAAGGAGGGAGGAAAGGGAACGAGATTATAGAAGAACAGCCTCAACCTATGTACAAAAAGAAGGGATAAGGAGAAGGTTCTTGAAGCACAAGAAGTGGTGCCCAACCACCTCAACGTATGTACAAGAAGAAGGTGGAGAATGAGGGATGACGAGAAAAAGCAACAAGTTCACGGAGGAAGGAGAAAGGAAATTACTAAAAAACCAACCTGTCAGAAAACAAGACACTCGCCTCAACTTATGTACAAAAAGAAGGGATAAGAATAAAATGCAACGAGGTTAAAGTGGAAGGAAATCAGGCGAGGAAGATGGTGCTTGAAACACAACACACGGTGTCCACCCATCTCAACACCAAGGGACGGCAAGAGAAAGCAACAGGTTTACGGAGGAAGGAGAGAGGAAAGTGTCCTGTAGAAGAAAAGCTAAGGAGAACGACTTTACAGAAGGGTCAACCCATCGGATGTGGTGCTTGAAACACACTCCGCAGTGTCCGCCCAACATAACTTGTGTACAAAAAGAAGGTGGAGTTGGAGGGAGAAGAGACAAGAACATGCAGCGAGTTAACAGAGGAAGGACTAGAGGAAGGTTTTTGTCCCGTAGGAGAATACGCAACCTGCCCAAAAGCAAGGAGAGAGTCCAACCACAAACAAGATGACAGAGGAAGGAAAGTAGGAAAGTGTTTGTCATGCAGAAGAAAATCAAATCAAATCCTGTCAAAGGACGTGGAAGGGCGGAGAAGATGGTGCTCGAATGACAAAATAAGAGGCAATGTCCGCCCACCTCAATGTCCACTGATGGACAAAGGGAAAGTGGAGAAGGAGGGAGGGATGACAAGAAAATGCGACAAGATTACACAGGAAGTATTTTGTCCCGCAGAAGAGGCAACAAAGAGAGCGGAGACAAAGACATAGAAACAAGAGGAGGCCGATGGCGGGACTTAAGAGTTTCTGAAAAGCCCCAAAATAGAAGAGGGAGGAGGCAGGGATTAGTAGAAGAAGAATGACTCGACGTCTGCTCGACAAATCGAAGCTTTGAAGACGTGACCTCCTTGTGACGGAGGGACTTTTCTTTGGGGGATTTGTTAGAGTGATACAGCTTTGCATGAAGGATTTGTGGGAAAGTTTGCCCTGAAAAAGAGACAGGAAGTCGGATAGCAACTGAAGGAACAAACTTTGGTCCACTTTGTCAAAATAGGGCTTTTACTCCATCTTCATTCCACGTGTGAAGCATTTAGCTCGTACTCTTAACCCAGAGTGGTTTACAGGCAGTGGGTTGAGGATTAAAATGGACAAACATTTGGGCAGAATCAGCTGCGAGGGATTTTTCACGCTTCGAGAAATCGGAGGCCGCTGAAGACCGTGCAAAAATATCTTGTCAGGTGAAAGAAAAAGCCCCAAAAGCCTGTATTTAAGAGTTCAAGGAAAGGATGCATGATGCAAGCTTTGTGAAATCTCAGACGTTGTTATGTAATGTGTGTTTTAAATGTGCATCATCCTACAATAAAAGCAAGGAAGAACTGGACATAGATATGGGGAAGAGAGCGGGGGAAATACAAATGATTTCAAAGCCTTTTTTATCAGTAGCTTTAGGACAGATGGGCAGAAAGTGAGGAGACCAATGTGAGGAGGGGAATGTGGGGTAATGAGGGAAAAGGAAATGGAAACGAATATCTTAAAATCCAGCTGAGATCACACAGATTTCAAAACGTCTCTTCAGTTCGAAGCTGCACGATGTTAAACGTGTTAGATGAATCTGATTTAGCTGAGAGGCAATTCGTCAAATCTGGCTGACTGCTCACATTTTGCGTCACGCTTCAATTTCATTTTCATTACAGAGTTTAATCAGCACGACGTAATAATATATGAAGAAAGAGATGGTTAAAATATGATTGTTCACTCTGCAGAATTTATTTTATTTCATTTTGTAAGTGTGTCTTGTACTTCAAAGTGACTTTTATTTAGTAAGTGAAATATAGTGGGCTATTTTGCCCTGAACTGAGCCTTTCAGGCATTTCGTCTTATAGAAAAAAGGCCTGCAGATGCAAAACAATGTATTAGCATATATGTTAAGTGTTGTGTAATTCTAAAGACTCCACTCCTTATATATAAACAATCTCTGCAAATGAAAGGTGATATTTAAGTTGAAATGTTCAGGTTTGTCTGAAACCAAAAGCACCTTACTTACAGATCGCCAGCCATCAATGAAAATGAAGTTTATTTATACCAGCGAGAACCAGGCAACCCAACAGTTGTTCTTAGTAATGGCCATTAAGGCTTGTTAGTTAACTTAGTAAGTGATTTAAGTCAAACCTTTACAAACGGTGCCTTACAGGCCTTTTCCACTACAGGAACTTAAAGTGTTTGTATAGATTGTGATAGGTGCCGCTCAGGAGAAGGAGATGAAGCCAAGTTTAGCGATTTCTCGGAAGAAAAATGGGTCGAATAAAGCAGTATTGTCAGTGGCCAAATGTTTCAAAATATGTTACCCGACGTACCAATCTTTAGCTTCAGCAGAAATACAGGAAAATACTTTAGGAATCTGGGTTAGAATAAGTGTTTATTACGTTTATAATACCATTTTGCTAGGCTGTGTTTCCCTGCTTTAGAAATGCAGAAACTGAGATCACTATCGGTTTTCATATTTGGGTTTTTTTCTATCAATGCTGGGACTGCAGTACTTTGTGATTCAGTATACATTTGTTCGGCAAACTGTTTTAGTTCATTGGTTTTCCTTCTGGTGAGGGTCCTCCTTATTCCTCCCACTGGAAACTTGTTGTATCCCGGACGAGTCCCCAAAATTGTTAAATTCTACAAACTGTTGAATCTTTTGCAAAGACCTTATCCGTCGCACAGTTATCTAATATTATATCTAATAACAACTTTGGATCACGTGTTAAAACATGTACTTTTGAAACTAGAATATAGAGGCAAAGTTTCAATGAATTAAAAGTGTGTTTTGCTGCCTTGTAATTTGTATATTATGCACGATTTGGGTTATCCAGCAATGTTTAGCTAACGGTGACATTGAGAAGTAACATTTCCAGTCATATGAGGCGGAGCAGCACAAGTAAAAAGTGATATATTTGTATTTCTCTTGTAGTAAAAAAACTAACAAAAAAGTATTTTAGTGACACTGACAAAAAAGTCATTCGATTTCAAAGTGACAGATATCAAAAATGGTGCCAAATGTTTCATCGTCGTTTTGAACTAAATCAACTAAATAGAGCATAAAATTGGCGCTTTTTCAATTAAATTTAACCCAAATGTTTGTTGAAAAACACAAATTAGGATCGAGCACGTGCTTAAAAACTTCCTGTAGTGGGAAATGTCCATTTTTAGAAAGCGGCACCCACTTATTTACAGATACATTCTGAATGTCACTGCCATGATTTCCACCTCCCCTGAGTCATATTTATTTATATTCCTCCGCACTATCTGCCAATCTTTCACCCCCAGCTTTCCCATCATGCACCCTGCCTGCAGGCTGAAAATCATTACCTGTCTCTTTAGCGATTTTCGGGGACAGGAAAGGTCAAAAAGTGCATTTGTTTTTTCAGAGACCTTGAGTTTTTTTATTTCCCCCAATGAATATAACTTCTCCTAAAGCTCTTTTTCTTTCCACACCATTTATCGGCGCCGCCTCCAAATTAAATTGCAGATGTTATTACCAAAGGTCTCATTAAACTTTAATTGCCTGATTTTAATTACGGCACTCTGTTTCCCTCTGTGTCAACATACTAAACACTTTGCACACTGTGAATCAACACTACAGCAGTTATTAGGTCTGCAGATGAAACCCGTAGTTCTTTTTATTTTGGGGGATTTAGCCTCTTGTTTTCCCCCCCTTTAATTCTCTGTCTCTTGTATGCGTCATTACCTCGCCCGACCCGAAATCCCACAATCCCTCACCAGCTGTTCATCGCCGTCCTCTTTCAGCCCCTCGTCTGTCTCTTTCCACCCTTTCCCCCGTTAATGCATGCCTCAAACTGAGAGAGAACGGGGTTTTCCTCTGAGGGAAAAATGTCTATTTGCGTCCTCATGATGGAGGATTTCATAAAAAAAAAACTGCTGCAATGTTGGTGATATTTTACCCTGACTGTATCCGCCTCAAATATATTTCCAGCAAATAACTAAAACATAAGTAAACCAATATGTGCTTTACTTTAACAGCAGCATCCTGAGTTATGAACCCTGGCGTTTAAATTGGATGTTTTATGAAAAGGATTATATTTTTAATGGTAAAAAGACTAAAAAAGGGCAGTTTGACGTCATCTGGTTTGCTTTTAATCCTTGAAGATATCCCACAATGCATTGCGTGGGTACGTCATCATGCACTTTGTTAATAGAGGAGATATTTTGTACACAAATCCAATTTGTCGGAGCAGTTTAAGGACTTGCATTGATATGAAATTGTTCAAAAAGGATTAAATAATATCTGTTTTTTGGTAAAAAAATTATAAAATATGCATGTGGTCATACGAACTACAGGACATAGGTTACATTTAACTCCCACGGTGCCATTTTGGTAATAAATCGCAAAAGGTTGATGTATGTACACATTTAAAAAAAATTCTAGCAAGCAGAACACTTCAGAAAACAGAATTAGAAACTTAGTGAATGGATATTTCTTGTTGCAGTGCATCTTGGGAGTTGTAGTTCTACCTTTTACATTTCTGAGTCTGTTTTCTAATAAGTTAATCTTTTGGACTTTTTTGTACCAGTTTCCAAGAACAAACGTAACATTTAACTAATTAAAGAGTGTTGAAACAGTATTATTATTATTTGATCACGTTTGTGACCCTAGCTAGCGATACGTTTATAAAGTCTACCAACGCTCATAGGACTCAAAGCAAACAAGATGGCGTCATTCCCGTTCAAACATGTCTTTCAGCTTGTTTTCCTATTATTTGCAGAACAGTACCCGGTGTTTATTTCCTCAGTGATGATGTTCTGATGTTTTTCTGACGAGGTTTGGGGGGACACACAGATGCTGCTTGACCTTTATAAAAACATGAATGTAAAACTGCTTAGTAACATGGCTGTAATGTTGTTTATCTTTCTGTCATTCTGTGTAAATATGTGTGAAAGACTGTAACCAAGCACAACGTGTGGGCCTTTACTCGTGTCCAACAACAGATGTACTGTTTTCTCAAGCACAAACACGCCTCTGACTCTTTATTTACCTGTGTGTGTGTGTGTGTGTGTGTGTGTGTGTGTGTGTGTGTGTGTGTGTGTGTGTGTGTGTGTGTGTTGACTGTTTACACAATCACAATGTTGGGACACGCAACTGGCAACAGAATGCAAGGTCCCAAAAGGTTCAAGGGTGTGTTAATTGTGTGTGTGTGTGTCTCTCTGTCTCTCTGTCTGTCTGTCTGTCTGTCTGTCTGTCTGTGTGTGCGCTGTGTGTGTGTTTGTCTGTCTTACTGGTGTTGTGGGGACACATCTCTGTTTACACAATTACAATGTGGGCACACGCAACTAGGGGCTTACAAAAATGTTTGTTTTGTTAGGGGCTGTCACAATATAAGATCTTCTCTACTATATAACTGTGAAAGTAATAACCCACGATAGCGATATTGTCACGATACCTTGATAACATTTAAAATATGTATAATGTTGCTCAAAATAATATTTTTTTAGCATTTTACTTATTTTTTAGTTTAGACACATAGTTATTAAACATTACATCTACTTAACTTACATAACAATCATAAAAAAGTCACAGTTTGCAATACTTTTGGCTAATAATACTTTTTCTTTTAAGCAAATTTGACCAGGAAAATTTACAAAATATATTGATTTTAACCAAAAATGTACCTGTAGTCATCTGCTGTCTTTCTAGTTAAATATATGTAATATTCTGAACAATATAAGGTTACATAAGTGCAGCAAAGCTTTCATTTAACTCCAGTTTCATCAGTGCGGAGGGACACAGCTGCAGGACGGCGACTTCACAGTTTCAGTTGCTACACATGGATACACAACTCAATTAAAAATGTAAGCGACGTGTTTGTGTGTAAAGCAAGCTGACATTAATCTAAATATTCAACAGACAGCGTTGGATCTGCAGCTCCAGGTGGGATCAGTTCAGCAGAAAGACACTTAGGTTACTGACGCTCGTTCACAATAAATGTGCCTCGCTGTGCGGAAAGGGACAATTAGACAGAATACTAAAAGTCTATTTTTACTTTTGTATCCACAACTTTTACTCAACAGTGAAACGTTTGGACATAATTGGTGTTTAAATCCAATCCACTTTATTTCTATAGCACATTTTAAAAACAGAGGGTTTGCCAAAGTGCTTCACAATGAACATAACATTGTAATCAAATATAATATTACAAGAATAGATAAAAGGCACACAAAGGCTATGGACAGACAATAAAAGCATAGTATAGCTAGAGCTCAGACTGTCCCGAAAGCGAGGGAAAAGAGGGGGGTCTTCAGGCGGGACTTAAAAGTTTGAAGAGTGGGCGACAATCTGACATGGGGGGGGGGGGGCAGGTCGTTCCAGAGCCTGGGGCTACCGCTGAGAAGGCCCGGTCTCCCCTGGTCTTTCTCTTGGTTTTAGGGACTACCAGCCGCAGCTGATCAGCCGACCTCAAAGCCCTTGAGGGGGGGTCCACCTGTAGGAGGTCGGAGATGTACTGAGGGGCCAGCCCATTGAGAGATTTAAAAGCAAACAATAGAATCTTTAGAATCTAAAATGGAGGAAAGCCAGAATTGGGTTGATGTGCTCATGCTTGTGGGTTCCTGTAAGCAGACGAGCCGCAGCGTTTTGTACCAGCTGCAGGCGGGCCAGCGAGGTCTTGTTTAGGCCGGCATGAAGTGCATTACAGTAATCTAGACATGAGTGACACGCTCAAAGTCTTAAAAGGATAAAACCGGTATAATTTTGGAGCCTCAGGTGATAAAAACTGGACTCAACCACAGTTTACCTGTTTATCTCATTTAAAAGCACTGTCGATTTTGACGCCAAGATTTGTGACCATGGGTTTTGCATACTGTCAAAGGACAACAGTACATTACATTTCACTTTACATACCGTGTTTCTGCACTGTAAAGATCATTTGATCTTTTATTTTGGAAGGGCTCAGTTTCAATTCCAATGGCAAGTTTTTTCAGGTAAAGCTTTGTCATTTATTTAGAATATTTTCATATTCATTTATAAAATGTTTACATGTATTTAAAACGTGTCTTGTAACTGTGTATTATTTATTAAGAACACTTAATACATTATTTTGAATATTATCTGATATTTATAAAAAACATATATTTTTTTTTAGAATATTCTGTTATTTTCACATTTCCATAGTTATTGAAAACACTTAATAATTAATTTAGAATATTTTCGTATTCATCTGTAACCCGTCAGTGTACTTTTTAACCTGTACACCTGTAGGACATGGCAAATACCCAAATCAGTGCTTAAATTAGGCTTTTTAATGCCTTTTGTCTCCCAAGCAGAGAGAGTCGTAGTGTTCATTGACTTTGCCTCGGAAAGCTTTTAAATCACCCGTGAAAAATTGCTGGGTTACATTTTAATCAAATGAATTAGTCTAGAGGTGAAGTTTGTCACGTCTGGACCTCCGTACAATGGAGGGTTTTTTAATTGACATTCATGGAAGAAAAGTAAATTATGAGCAACTCAGCAACTCTTTTCCCATCCTGCTGCCGACTCTCCGTGCTTCAACGGAGGCAGAAACTGAGGTTACTGACCAAAGAAAACGCAGAGTTTAAATGAGACTCCAGGGGTTAGTCGAACATCTTAGTTAAACTCTCTGGAGACGATTTAATTCAGCTGTCACGCCTGCAGAGTTCTAAAACAGCTGATCAATTTGCAACGTCAGGAAGAGTTCCTCCGTGTGCAGACTCACTTTTCATTCTAATAAAAGCTGAAGGACTCGGTAATGCTCCACAAACCTTTCTCTACTCCCCAGCTGTGCCATCAATCACTAGGAAAGTACAATGTATTTCCCCTTAAACTGGAGGGGAGGTGAAGTATAACAACTCTAATGTATTATTCAGTTAATGTACTTCATATCCTTCCACCACTGATTCATGTGTTTACAAGGGAAAACAGATAACTGAATAACAAACAGGGTGGCTGTCAGTCGCAGGTAGATGTTCTTATATTAAAGAGGCCCTATTCTGCTTCAAGAATATTGGGACACTTTTGAAAAGTCAGCGGAATTTTTGGAGGTGGATCAAAGGCCTGTTTGACATTTTACTTGTTTAAAAGTTGAATAACTATGTGTTCGAAAGTTGAAAGAGGCTTTATTCAGATGTAGTGTGTTCTATAGCAGTGGCTTTCAAAGGGTGAGGCGCGCCTCCCAGGGGGGGCGCCAGAGAGCTTCAGGGGGGGGCGCCAGAGAGCTTCAGGGGGGGGCGCCAGAGAGCTTCAAGGGGGGGCGCCAGAGAGCTTCAGGGGGGGGCGCCAGAGAGCTTCAGGGGGGGGCGCCAGAGAGCTTCAGGGGGGGGCGCCAGCAGAAGCTTCAGGGGGGGCGCCAGAGAGCTTCAGGGGGCGCGCCAGAGAGCTTCAGGGGGGGGCGCCGAGAGAGCTTCAGGGGGGCGCCAGAGAGCTTCAGGGGGGGGCCAGAGAGCTTCAGGGGGCGCGCAAGAGAGCTCAGGGGGGGCGCCAGAGAGCTTCAAGGGGGGGCGCCAGAGAGCTTCAGGGGGGGCGCCAGAGAGCTTCAGGGGGCGCGCCAGAGAGCTTCAGCGGGGGCGCCAGAGAAGCTTCAGGGGGGCGCCAGAGAGCTTCAGGGGGGGCGCCAGAGAGCTTCAGGGGGGGCGCCAGAGAGCTTCAGGGGGGGCGCCAGAGAGCTTCAGGGGGGGGCGCAGAGAGCTTCAGGGGGGGGCGCCAGGGAGGTTCAGGGGGGGGCGCCAGAGAGCTTCAGGGGGGGCGCCAGAGAGCTTCAGGGGGCGCGCCAGAGGAGCTTCAGGGGGGGCGCCAGAGAGCTTCAGGGGGGGCGCCAGAGAGCTTCAGGGGGGGGCCAGAGAGCTTCCAGGGGGGCGCGCCAGAGAGCTTCAGGGGGGGCGCCAGAGAGCTTCAGGGGGGGCGCCAGAGAGCTTCAGGGGGGGCGCCAGAGAGCTTCAGGGGGGGCGCGCCAGAGAGCTTCAGGGGGGCGCCAGAGAGCTTCAGGGGGGGCGACCAGAGAGCTTCAGGGGGGGCACCAGAGAGCTTCAGGGGGGGCGCCAGAGAGCTTCAGGGGGGGCGCCAGAGAGCTTCAGGGGGGGCGCAGCGGGAGAAAAGAATAACGAGAAACAGTGAAATCTAGCTGGTTAACTTCAGCTAACTTTGTGCGAGCGGCAACATGGATCGATTTTTAGTGAAGTTACCTAAAGTGAGAGAGGAGACAGCGTCTGGCAGAAAACGTCACTTGCACACTTTTGGCTGTCTGTGGAGACCGAGTTCCCTTCACCTCTGCCTACCTGTGTGAGTGCTCATTCCCTTCACCTCCACCCACCTGTGTGAGTGCTCATTCCCTTCACCTCCACCCACCTGTGTGAGTGCTCATTCCCTTCACCTCCACCCACCTGTGTGAGTGCTCATTCCCTTCACCTCCACCCACCTGTGTGAGTGCTCATTCCCTTCACCTCCACCTACCTGTGTGAGTGCGGGTTTTCCGCATTGACTCTGATCAAAAGCCAGTACCGGTCAAGGCTGCAGCCAGAGGATGATCTGCGTTTATTCCTGTGTGCTTCAAAGACGCAGACTCATTGTTCCCACTAAAGTAGGGCTGAGTGTAATAAGGAGGCAGAGTTGATGTTCAGTGTGTTGCCGGGAGAATATAAGGATTTATCCACCATGTTGAAAATGTTAAACATGTTTAAAAAATATGTTTAAAACATAAAGATAAAAGGTTAAAAAAGTTATTGTTTAATGTTTTAAGGAGGTGACGCTACTCAGCCAATCAAATGGGTGCATTCAGTGAGTCAGCACGATAGACTCAAACACACACACACACACACACACACACACACACACACACACACACACACACACACACACACAACACACACACACACACACACACACACACACACACACACACACACACACACACACACACACACACACACACACACACACACACACACACACACACACACACACACACGCACACAGAGACGAGACAAGAGGAGAGAAACAGCAGTGA